AAGCTATGGCTTTTTGAGAATTCAAAGAAAAGCAGCAAAATAGAATGGATTTGGACAGATTTTAGAGAGGAACAGGATGAGAAAGGCATTCAGCTCCCAAAACGAGTCACCTGCAGGCTCAGAGAGAACCCAGGAACAGGACAAGAACACTGAGAAAAGTCCATGTGAACAAACCCCAAGCAACAGCCACAGGCGCTGTCTCCGGAGCTATCCAGGACTAGAAAAGGCCAAAACACTTGCGACGGACCTTATTGTTCCTCTTCTCCGCAGGACCGCCAGTCTCCTCAGCCCCCCACGTACTGAATCCTCTCAAAAAGATGGCCTTTGGCACAGCTGTGGGGCAGCTGCTGTGGGGCAATCCCTCAATTTAATCCTCTAAAGCTTAGACCCTGTTCTTCGGGGCTCCTGAGTCCTTTCTGCCAACAGCAGCCCCTTCCCTCCCCACCGGCTCCCCCTTCCTTTCTTGCACAGAGGCTTGGAGCCCAGCCAACCGTCCTGGCGCTCCCATCTCTGCCAGGAGTGGCCCACTCTGGCCGACTCCTTTCTCAGGTGTGACTCAGAGAAAGGGCTCCACAACCTCTAGAAACATTACTGTCTGCAGGTTTCCATACCTGGGCGTGGGCATAGTGTACCAAACGCAAGCTTCACTTCATTTTAGGACGTGGGATCAAATGCTTGGTTCCGGTTACGCATCCCCCACCTTGTCCAGCATCTAGGATCGCATTTATTCCAACAACTCAAGCATGCTGCACTAGGGTTTTTGCCTTGAGTCAAAATGATTTGAACCTCTGCTAGCAGAGGAGGTCTGCAGAGGGGCAGGGATGTCTTGGAGGCATATGTGCATGTGCTGGGAGTCATGCTATGGGGGCAGGGCACGTCCAGGGAGCCCCCCAGACAGAGCTGAAGCCCCGAGCAACGCATGAGCAGAGTGACTGGGGAGGGGAAGCCCACGCTGGGCACCTCCCTTCCCAAACCCATGGGGAACAAGTGCCCATGAGGACACACGCGGTGGGCTTTGGCAGTGCTTTCCCTGCCTTGTAGAGATGGAGAACCATACAGGCAGAACCGGCAGCAGTGAGCGTCAAAGCAGGAAGCCCGAAGCCACAAAGTGGATGCATGTGATCCCATGGAGCGGAGGGAAACCGGAAAACACGGAGCGTTCCAAAGATAAGACCCCAGCCAAAGATGGCCCAGATCTCACGGGGCCGTAGCACTTCCCAAGAGGGCTCAAGAGATGGGATTCTTAGAGGCTCCCGCTCTGCCCTGACTGCCACACTTGGCTCTTCCAGGCGGTCAGGGCTTTCAGAACCAAGGCTACTCTGCTGCCCAGGCAGTGGTTGTAGCCTCTGACCCTCAGGCAGAAGGGCAGCTTCTACCAGAAAGTGTTCGCAGGCAGGTGGTGGGGGCTCACAGCCCTAGCAGAGGGGCAAGAAAAGATAAAATGTGCATTTCTTTGCTGAAAACACTAAAATGCCACCCCCACAAGGGGTATTTGTGAGTGACAGGGTACATAAGCAACTTCCCCTGAACCCAGCTGTAGGTCGACTGATGGCTGGAGCCTGAGATGCCCAGATGAAGGGATGGATGTGGAGGGCAGCCCACGGCACAGCAGTGTGGAACATCAGCCTCCTCTGACGGCAAAGTCAAGTGGCCCATGTCCCTAGGCAACAGGCGTGAGACCACAGCCACCTGCCCACCACACACAGGGCAGATGTGAAGGGAACCCACCCTCTTTTCGTACGAGAACCCGCTGGGGCTGCCAGAGACAGCTTGCTCTGCAGAGAGAAACCCCTCCTGGAGCTGAGTCCAGTCGAGACTGTGTTTAAAGGGGGGGCGAGGCCAGGCTTACGCTGGTGCTTAGAAAAGGAAGTGTTGTCTTACGCTATGCCTCTGCCCAGGGCATGCCTCTCACAGTGGGGCTAAGACCAGTACCAAGGAGCCCAGTGTGTCTGAACTGCAGACATGAGCAAAGCATCTTTTGTGAAAAGCTAGGTAACACAATGGAATGGGAGTCGTGAGGCCAGGCGCTTAACACCCAGTAAAAAACTGAAACCAACTTTCTATACAATTACGTACAGTCCTACTCTCCTCCTCAATTACTGGTCACCCTAAAAGTGCTGGAAAAGATGGGCAAAGGCTCCCGGATAACTGGGCAACAGAGTTCTCCGAGAAGGTGCACACAGCAGCAGAACCACGGCTGAGGCCATGTGGTCGCACCACCCTCAGCAGCATCTCCACGACCCATTGGGTCCAAGGAGAAACTCCTCCGGAGCAAGGAACGTTAGGCTCAGATTCCGACCTCCTTCTTCCCACAGCCACACTGACACCAGGGCCTGCAGGACCCGGAGGGGTTTGGACTGCGATCACTCAGCTCTTAGTGTTTAAGGAAGTCAAAGGTGGGGTAACACCGTGCCCTCCCCACCCCCGCCCCTGCACCCCCCGTCAGCCTGGCCACTGCTTGAAGGTCTTGGCAGCAGGCCGGTTTGCTTCAGAGCACAAGGCAAACACTGTAGTGTCAGTCTGCCACACCACTTCCTTCGTCTGCCTCCTCCTCCGGGGTAAAAACATTAGTTCTACATTTGAAAGCTAATTTTTAAAAATAATAATAATAATGATGACAATTTCCCTATCAAGATGACATGAACACCAATCATAAAGCAAAGTCCTTAGGGTGGGCAGATGGATGCAGAACGGGCTTCTTCAGGACAGGCAGCCTCCTCCCTCGTGTGGACAATAGATGCCTCTTGGAGGATGGGCTGTTGGTTCCCCATCCCAGGTCCCCTTGCCCCAGTACTGTTTCACCCTTGGGTTTAGTGTTGGAATCACAACTGCGAGGTCAGCAGCGAGCTTCTGCAGGGGATGAGGCGGGGGAGGAGAGGAGACGCGGCGGGAAGTTAGTCCTCTTCGTCCTCACTGATGTCGTAGGCTGCAGCCTTGCGTCGGTAGACGTTTGCTGGGGAGGAAGGTGGAGAAGTCTTGGCAGAGAAGGGCCATCGGAAGGAGGGCGAGGGGGAGCGTTCACGAGTGGGGCTGCTGCTAGGACTCTGCTTTGGACTGATGGCCTGCAGCATCCGGCCTTTGCCCTCCTTCAGCATATGCTTCTGAGGAGACCAAAGGGGAAAACCAGGAGAAAAGGTTAGGAGAAGGCTAGAGATCCTACTGAATCATCGCCAGAGGACCTGAGCCTTAAATGACCACCAGTGTTCCTAGCATGTCGAACGAACGTGACCTCAGTGGAGGATGATGGCTATAATTCTAAGTCATCTCCTCCCTGCAGTGGCCTTTGCTATGACATTCATTGAAGGCCTCCCACTTGCTGCTACCCAGACCCCAAATCCTTGATTTCTGTGTTGAAGGGACTGTTCCAAAGAAATAAAACTCCATGAAAAGCGTACCTATCCCAGTTCAAGTTCTCTGCAGAGGAAATTCCAGCTTCTTCCTAAATAACCTAGTCTCCAAAGGCCTGCAGAGTCCAATCCTTACTGATACCTAACCGAGGGCTCCCTTGCCGAATTGCCACACCTACACCAGTCTGTGGCTTGCAAATGCTTTGCTGCTGCTCAAGGGCAGAGTCCCTGCGGACCCAGGGAGCTGGCAGCAGCTGCCCGCAGGGTAGGCAGCTTTCTTTGGACTGCTCTCCACTTCCCTCTCTCCTCCTTTCTAAAACGCCACGGTAGAAGCAAGCTGGGTAAGGCTACTTGCTTATCTGGTCACCAAACTCAGAGGCTGATACAGAGCCGGAAATGATGATTCAGGAGAATGTGCAAACTCTTTGTGTAAAAATCTTAAAGAATTGTGTGTGTGTGGGGGGGGTCGTTCATAGCTGGAATATATTTCTGCCTAGATATGAGAACCAGATTACATGACACTTGATGTCAATGTGCTTTTCTGCTCAAGAATTCTTGGACCCTGTCCGCAGCTTGGAAATGCCCTGTATTCCTCCTCAGGAAAGAACATACCAGGGCTCCTTCGGGTCCAAACATTTCCAGGAAGCTTCCAATGAACTCGCGGGATTTCTCCTCCCATTTCTGAATGAGGTCAATGCTTTTCTCCTCTACCTTCTGAACAAATTCTTTGGACTTTTCTTCCACGTCCTTCACTTTCTTCTTTACTTTGTCAACCCTCTCCTGCAGGTGGTATTTCTTTTCCTAGGCAGAGAAAGAGTGGCTTTGAGAAATAACATTCTCCTTGACCTTGCCGGCACACTACTGACCCTTGTTCCAGTCCGCAGACCCTCACCTGCTGTAATCTGTCTACACTACGTTAGCACACTAACAGAGACACCGGGCTCCAGAGGGTCGTCCTATAGGGGAAAGTATGAGATGATTCATGTTGTGGGAGTCTAGGACCAGACCAAATATGCAGGCATGCAGCCACAGAAGACGAGTCTTCTTAAGACAAAGCAGAAATTTGGAACATGAACATGCTTAACATGGCCTGAAGGACTGGTCATGGTACTGCCAGGAAGAATCCAGCTGCCTTAAGTTGGAAGTAGAAGTACTGGACTCCCAAACGACTTAATTCATTGATTGTAACAGATTGCCCACCCACCCCCTATCATATGCTTTTAGAAGTGTTGGAATTTGTTAAGGTGTGTTTCTTTTTTTCTTTGGCAGTCCATCTGCTCATCTGCGAAACGAAGACACTATCTTTTGTTTCTAGAAATAAGGGAATATGGTATGAACACTGTGGGAAGAAAAAAGTATTCCCACAATTTCTAGGTTATAAAGGGGAAACAGAGAAAGCTCTAGGCTCTTAAACACCTGAGTCTTATGAGGCAGAGAGAAAAATTTTAAAGTAGGTGATACCAGCAGTGAGCTTTATATGCATAGATAAAATCATAGTTCAGTGAAACAGAAGACACAGTTAGCAGTTTATCTTTTAAAAGCAAATGTACTAAGGCATACTTTATATACAAAATATATTATGACTTGCTTCTAAAAGGTATTCTCAACCATTCATAAATCAAATTTAAAACTTAGGTCCATGTACCCTGAGAAACTGCATGTAAAATGTTGTAGGGCCAACTATCAAAAGATAAAGTGTCTGGGGTCTTAAAGGCTTGAAGCTAAACAAGTGGCCATCTAGCAGAGAAGCAACAAGCCCACATGGAAGAAGCACACCAGCTTGTGTGATCATAAGGTGTTGATGGAATCAGCTAATAGGCACCAAAAGACGCAAAACATCAACAACAAAAAACATGTTGAGAACGAGGGGGCTCAGAACAGAGACCCAAAACTCATCTGTAGACAATAGAACATCCCCTCACAGAAGGGTCACCAGGAAGGGATGAGTCAAGCAGGGCACAGTATAGCACCTGTGAAACACACAATATTCCTCTGGTTCTTTGAGGCTTTCTCACCCCCCACTATCATGACCCCAGTTCTGACTAGACTGGAGCATGTACACTGGTACAGATGAGAGCTAATGCCACGGAATCCAGGTCAGATAAACCCCTCAGGTACAGAAATGGGAGTAGCAATACCAGGAGGGTAGGGGGAAGAGGGGAGGAAGGGGGAACTGATCGCTATGATCGACACATAATATACCTCCAGCCCCAAGGGGAACAAACAGAAACGTGGATGAAGGGAGACAGCAGTTGGTGTAAGATATGAAAATAACAATAATTTATAATTCATCAAGGGGTCACAAGGGTGGGAGGGGGGGAGGGGGGAAAAAGAGGAGCTGATACCAAGGGCTCAAATAGATAGTAAATGTTCAGAAAATGATGGCAATATATGTACAAATACGCTTGATACAATTGATGTGTAGAATGAAGAGCTGTAAGAGCCCCCAATAAAATTATTTAAAAAACCAAACAAACAAACAACGCTTTAAGGGGTTATAACACTCTGGGAGAAGATCCAGAGCTTTCGTCAGATTCTCCAAACAACACCCAATTACCGACGATGCTTCACAACTACTGTTCTAGAGGTAGCTGATATTCATGCGGCCCCACAGGATCGCAGTGAGTCAGTAGGTTTGGGGGGCGAGCGGGGCGGGTGATAATGACTGACTGAAAAAGAAACGCAGGCTCGGATGGAACAGGGGCAAGTGACATGCTGCACGGCCAGGGAGTGTGGGTGTGGTGGGACTCACGTTGATGAAGCTGACATTGAGCTCCTTGGCCGTGTAGCCCCTCTGGAGATTCCGTCTGGCATACACATCATAGTCCCGAACAATGCGGGTGATGATGTCCGACGTGGAGATCCCCTCTGTCCTCTGCGTTGGAGCAAACATGCCTAATGGAAGGACACACACACGAGACACACACGGCGCAGCCTGGTTAGCGGTGGCCGGGGTGGGGGGACTACACGGAAACGGCAAACTGTATTCCTTTCCTCGCCTCAAAAAGCAGAAGTGACAGCTGGAGGTACTGACAGTCGGGAGTTAGTCAGGCACAGACTAGGGGAGAAGAAAGGCGGAGCTATAAGGACCTTGTCTTACGAGAGAGAGAGAGAAATACAACTGGGAATGGGTTTCCGGACGTTAAAAGCAATATCCAAGGAGCTGCTCTTCGGTACTGGGAAGTGACGAATATCAGTGCTGTCTCAGAAGATACTGACTTCCCCAGGACATGATTCTTCCTGTAAACCGCTGACCCGCTGGGGGTTCTGTGGCTCCAGGACACCCCCACCCCACCCCACCCCCCGGCGAGGAGGCACACCACCTTACTCACCGGCTTCCTTGATGTGCTTGTAGACATCATCACTGCCAGCAGAAGAATAGGGGATATCGTCATGGGCCACAAAATCAATCTGAAAAGAAGGGAGCACCTTTAAAGCCAGGACAACTGCCATTCACAGAGAGCCAATGAATGTTACCAGGACAGGAAGCAGTCAGGCCTCAAACAGACTGTCCCCCCTCTATCTGCCTGAACTTTGCTCCTGAATTCCATGATTCATTCCTAAACCACCCAACCTCACTGTTGAAGGATCATCGACATGAAGTTTGCCAGTGTCCTCTACAGCTATTTCTTCCGGCCAAGTTCAAGTGCTACCCTCTCACTGGGCGCCTGTCACCACGCAGGCGGATTTGCTGGGAGTTAGTAGTGAGCACTCAGGCCTAAGGAAAGAAGGCAGGAAGGCTCCTAACCCCGGGCCTATAAGCAATGGCCAAATCAGAGTTTCCTAAAGTAGGAGTAAGAGGTCGCTTCCTGTTCAAACGGTTTCTCAGTCTGTAGGATAGGTAGGAATACATCAATTGTGAACACCTCAATTTCCCCCCTTACTAGAACAGACACATCTGTATTCCTGAGAAATGCAAAACCCAGAGCCATAATGGAGCTTCCCGTCTCAGGATGTATCCTTGTCAACATGCTGGGCGAGGCTGAGGAGAGCTGATGCGGCACTGGATCAACCATCTTTGTGGGACAGGCTGCGCTTTATTAATGCACTCCTTCCTGAGGAGACAGCATGGGCATCAGGCCTGTGTCGGGGACTCTCAGCTGATGTCTCAGTTTCCCTCGTCAGGGATCTATAAGCAGCAAAATGAAACTAAGAAGGGGGGCAAGCAGGACTCCTGGTTAGGGACATCGTGCTCGCAAAGGAAACATTCGCTGAAAGCTCCTCTATCCATACACTTCTATGTGGGCTCTGCTGCTCTGTTGCTAAACTACTCTTGCTCCTCCCTCACCCACAGTGCCGCTGCTGCTCAGGGCTGGTGTAGAGCCGCTCGAGAACTGTAATGCGTGGGTTTGAGGCCACTGCAACCCCGTGGGACAGAGCAGTCTGCCCATAGGGTTTCCTAGGCTCTACCCTTGATGGGAGCAGATCTCGCCTGCTGAGTCGCTGAGTGGGTTCAAACTGCCGGGCTTAAGTTAGTAACCAAATGTTTAATTAATGTGCTGTCAGCACTCCTTAGAGAACGATAATCAGTCTGTCCTCATCCTTGATAGGTTTAAACTCATGCCCTATCTTCAGGTTATTTTAAATATTGCTTTAAAAGCCCCTTGGCTATCTTTATTCTTCTACACACCCTACAGAGAATGGAAAGAAATCCTTGCTGGCTCCTCTCAATTTTGAGGCTCACCAACCTGGGATAATCCATCCTTCTCATCTTTCATATCTACCATTTATACGAAATCTGTTATTTCAATGGAGGTGAATTAAGAGGAGGTACAGGGTTTCATAACATTAACCAACTAGTAAAAGTGAGAAACAGCTCCTAGTTTCTAATCCCACTCAGCTTCCAGCCCCAAGCCAAAAGCCCTCTCTCAAACTAAGTGGAAGTCATCACCAGGAAGGTGGATAGTTAGCCCTGTGGCTCAGCTTACAGCCACACAGCAGGCAGGTGTATGGGAAGAAGGACTAACCCCAGGGAGGCACACCCTCAGCAGAACCACCAACCACACAAATCGAAAGGCCCTCATCTGCCCAGGAAGAAAGCTCAGAAGGCAGGCAAGGACAGGGGAGAAGACAAAGGGAAATAGCAAGTAGGCAGGAAGTGGGAAGAGTGTTGTTTTGGGACTGTAGTCACTGCTGCAAAACACAATGTGTAAGAACTGTTGAGTGCAAAATCAATTTGTTCTGTAAACCTTAATCCAAATCATAATAAAGAGTCTAAAAAGAAAAGAAAGGTCTATGGTTATCTGACCCCCCATCTCCTGGAATGTGAACTTCTTGCCTGCATGACTGGGCCTACAGATTCTGAAGAGATTGGGATGCTATGGGGGTGGGGCTGCGGTCCACAAAACTTATGAATTCAATTGTGACCATGATGTCAGGCTCAGAGAAGGCTATTTGGTCTCTGTGAGCCTTGTTTCTCATTCATTGTCCACTAAGAGGATATGATCATTACTCCCGAGGGTTGAAGCAGGGGGGTGATGCAAATGGTCATGAAAGCGCATAATGTCAGAGATGACTACTGTTAGTAGTTGTGTCACTGTCACCTCTTCTATGTGACACTTCCAGAGAAAGTGGAGGCGAAGGAGAGCTCGTGGAAAACCAGGCCAAGTGCCAGCAGCCTCGAGGATTTCGGGGACACTGAGACAAGGAAGGGGTCACAGGCCTAGCTCTTACCTGGTGCTCTGCCAGGAACTCAGGCGTCAGGGTCCAGGGGGCATTCCTTACCACCTCGTCCACATAGCGGCAGTGCTGCACCGCGTCGTAGCGCTCGCTCTCGTTCATCACCGTGAAGCCTTTGAAGTTGTGTGTCAGCTCATCACTGCAGACTGAATTCACCGCGTCACAAAGTGGTGAGTCCAGCCTCCCTTTGCCAAACTCCTCCCCAGTCACCAGCCTCGCTCATCTCCCACTTCCTAGGACTGCAACCACCCTCCCCGTCGGGAACAGAACCACCTGGCTGTAGCTCAGGCCAGGTAGCACAGCTGTTCCTGATCTAAGATACACCACCAGGAGCCATGCTCCCTAGACCATGTGCTCATCACCGTGCAGAAGACGGAGTCCCACTGGGCACTGGGCTTCTGACTTCGAAGTGATCCTGCTGAGGGGAAACCATTCAGAGTGGGGAAGTGAAATCTGAAGCAAAGACTGCTCTGAACAAGGCGACCGAGTCAGTGTGGCCACCCTGCCTGGAGAAATGCAGCCACGAGGTCATGAGGGAATCCTGGACAGTGTAGGCCAGGGAGGCCTCAACCCCCCGCTTCTCCAGCTGAGGGTGCTGGCACCTCGCTTATTTACTGCAACAGAAAGGCTGTGCTGGATCACTCCTTTAAAAACAGAACCAAAGGCCAACACACCCAGGCTAAACAGATAGGAGAACAGGATTCCTCTTGTCTTTTTCTGGACAGACACCCCCAAAACCCTCATACATCTCCTTACCTCCCACAATGAGGTATGTATTGGGGAAAAGATTCTTGGCTTGCATCAGAGCTCGGGCATGACCAGAGTGAAATAAGTCAAATATTCCATCTGCATAAACTCTCACAGGCCGCTCATCTAAACCCAAAGGAAAGATTGTATTACGTGAACGCATTTCATGCAATACTTCTTGTTTAACAAATAGAACTGATACAGTACAATTGTTCTTCCCCACGCCCCTCACTGAAGACGCGGTCTGGGAGGCATACTGGCGTGGGGGAGGAGGGACAACACAGACTTCCTTGGCCGCAGGCTCTCCCGACACCTTCTCCACTAACTCCTTGCACTAGCCTGATTGTCCCAAACTGCTCAGGTAGGTGGATCTCAACTGCTTTTTCTTAGAGTTATTTCAGAACAGAAAGGAGAGAGGAATACATCAGCTCTGTGCTGCACTTGACACTCCTCACCTTCAGTCTGTGCAAGCTCTCACTCCAGCTGCCAGGATGACTGACTGACGCCTGACGGATGCTCTGCCTTGAAAAGAAGCCTCCCAGTATAGCACAGACAGTACAGCAGAAGGATGAGAATGAAAAAGACGGAGGGGTTGGGGGGGGGGATCGGTAGCTAAGTGAACCAGTTATCAATTCAATGCTTCTCAGTTCCAATTCACCCTTTGAGCCCTGCCCTGTGATAACAAACGGAATTCCTTTAAATATTTCTTCTTTGATAGTGAGCATGATATTAAGCTTTTACACCAGGGTGATCAATGAAATATTTGAAAATCAAGTAAATATTTTAGAACTTCTCCTTTCCTTCTTCTCTTCCATTAATGAAAAATAATAGAGAACGTATAGGTTGCCATTCCTTTTTAGTGGTAGTCTAAGAGAAGCCAGAAAAGAATCTCTTAGTAGAAAGGAAATGTTTTGAGAATGATGATGGCAAGAAATGCACAAATGTGCTTGACACTATGGATTGTGATAAAAGCTGTACAAGCCCCCAATAAAATGATTTAAAAAGAAAAGAATCTCTTGAGGTATAAGACTCAAACTCCACACTCACTGCCATCGAGTCAATGCTGACTCACAGTGATTCCCTGTGGGTTTCTGAGACTGCAACTGTTTACAGAGCTGCTGGTGGTTCCGAACTGCCGACCAAGCGGATCGCAGCCCAACGTGTAACCACTACACCACCAGGGCTTCTGGGGTACGAAACTAGAGAGTCAAATAAACACATGAAGGATGAAAGTGGTGTGATTTAAGGACCATCATGTTTGGAATGATAGATCTAAAGAGTCCTACTAACTTATTGTGACTACATGTGAGCACAGAAAGGGTAGCAATTGCATCACTCTAGGGAGGAAGGGCTGCAGCCTTATCAGCTATGTCAGACGTGGGTAAGACCCAGCTCCCTCAGTCTGCAGGACAAGAAAGCCGGGAGTAAGAAATTGCTCCTCGGGAGGTTAACGGACTTGTCTTTTCATATACCTTTATCCACAATAAGTTCTAGGACACCAAGGAGTCATACGTGGCTGACAGAAATACACATTGAGACAACTTCTAAGGATGATGCTCATACTCTTTGACCCAGCAATTCTAATTCTAGAAATTTATCTCACAGATATACTTGTAAATACGTACATGGCATTCACTGCAGTGCTGTTAGTAACAGCAAAGGTTTGGAAACAACCTACAGTTTAATGCAAGCCGCATTCAAGATACCAAGATGCAGCTGAAAGAGAGCAGGAGACCCTAGAACCCGTCTGTTTGATATAGGTAGCTTCTCCGAGGGGCCCTCTGTGGCTTCCAGACAAGGAAGTGACACTTTCCATACTCTTGGAATGTTCAACCATAGGCATAGCTTAATTTTATCATACAGGGAATAAAATGCTAAATAACTCTCCAGTGCAAGGAAAAATTGAGAACTAGTATAAGGGAGTTAAGAAAGGATTCAATGCAAACTTGTCAACCAGCTCATTGCTGGTTGATCATAACCTTTAAACCTCGGGTTCCTCATCTATCAAACAAAACCACACCACCCACTTCCTGCCCGGCGGCAACAGCACAGAACACTACTGGCTGAGGGACTGTTGGCCTGGTAGCTGATCATCCTGTTAGGTCAAGTGTGTCACTGGCTCCCCCGACCAACCCCAGGTACGCCTCTCCAGAGTTTCCTCAGCCTCCAATGAATTCCAACATCTCAATTTCCTATCACTTACCCCTGATCTTGGGCAAATGCTGGTGGTGTAGTGGTTATATGTTGGACAGTAACACACAAGGTTAGCAGTTCAAAACCACCAGCCACTCTTAGGGAGAAAGACAGCCTTTCTACTCCTATAAAGAGTTACAGCCTCAGAAACACAGAGGCAGTTCTACCCTGTCTTATAGGGCCACTGTGAGTCACCATCAACTTGATGGCAGTGAGTTTGGGGCAAACCCAGGCAGGTAGATTAATTAACCAAATGGCCAGAAAAGGCCACTGTTGAACCAAGCGGTCTTGGAGAGAAATCAAGTGTGAAGGTCATTCTTTATACCAAGTGGTTACTGGCCAGGAATGCCTCACCACTAGGGTGGGCCTGTTGTTTGGGGGCATTTCAGTGGCCATGGCTTTTCCATGCAGTTGTGCTGATGTGGATTATAAAGCAATGGTCATACTATAGATGGCTAAGTCATCAGCTCCTTTAGGCAGAACACATCTGGGTTTCAATTCACATCACTCTCACTAAGACATTTTTGCTGCCGTCAGTTTCCTTTGTCTCTTCCTTTCTCGAAGTGAAACATATTGCTACCCCCAACCCCAACCCCAGCCCACTTTACAGACCCCATCTCAAGGCTCACGCTGAGTTTGTGTTTTGCCTGGGTAGGGTTTTCTCCAAGGTGACACCAACTTCCCTCTTTAGCTCCCTCAACCGCCCTAGTGACAATCTCTCCTCCGGGCTGTGTCAGGGGCTGCCAAGCTGGTTCTGACTCACTGCGCCCCACACGTGCACAACACACTGCTCCGTGGGGTTCTGAGGCTGGCACCTTGTGGGAGCAGCTTGCCAGACCTGCCTTTTGAGGCATCTCTGGGAGGCACTTAAGTACACCTGTGCCACCCAGGTACTCATACAGCCCCTGGTATAGAACTCCCTCACTGTGATATGCAGATTCTTTCCGGTGCAGGCCTTGGTGGGCCTTGGCTAAACCTACTGCCACCCACTCACTTCGGATTCCCAGTGAATTGAGTAGAATTGCTTCTTGAGGATTCTGAGATTAAATCTTTAAGGAGCAGATAGCATTTCTCATCTTTCTCCTGTGGGGCAGCTGGTGGGTTTGAGCTGGCAGCCTTCTGGTTGGTTAGCAGCCCAATGTTTATCTGCACAGGGCCACCGGGGCTCCTCACTGGCATGAAAGCAGTCAGTTACTTAATACTTAGCATAAAACAAAACCACTGTAGCGGGGAAAGTCAAGGTGAAATTAGACCAGCAAACTTTAGAGACCACTTGGAGGCTGTTCTACCTGGAAGGCAAACCCTCTGCCAGTGGCCTTCTCGCGCTTACAGCTTGTGTCTCTGGAAAATGACTCCACCAGGGTAAACTGAGCAGAGCTGGGAAGACTGGGGCTGGAAAGACCCAGGCTCTTTCCAGTTGAATCACCAGGTGCCTGCTTTACAGTATGAGAGCCTCATAGCTTGGTTTCTATGGTCTTTCTCACACACACACACACACACACACACACACTGGGATACATAGTCACAAAGGTTATACAAAGCTGTAAAATTCTACCATTCTAAAATTTAAATTCTTTAGATTAATTGTTAATAAGCTTCAGAACTTGGGAGCAGCACACATATTTTTCACTTCTATGTGTTGCAAAAGGTCTGGAGATAAATTAGCATCAAGCAGGCTGATATAACTACTTGGCGCGCACCTGAGCAAAGTGTGAAATTCTCAATGTGTGTCATTAGAGCGTCCTTGTCTTGCACAGGGTCCACTGTCACAGCTGAATGGGACCCTTGAACCGTCTGCTGGCATTCTGAAGTTTGACCTGCTACTATCAGATCCTCACATGCAGCCTCCAGACTGCCCCTTACCATGGCTTACCGGCAATCCTGCCCTCTTAGTTTTCTTATCTCTCAAATGAGGAGAGCTGAACCCCAAAGTCACATCATGAATAGGACTGTGGACAACATATGCACCTCTAGACGCTTTTATAAAAAGAATGTAGTCTCTGGAATTAACCTCTCTTACTGAGGCCCCCAAATCATAATCCATAGAGCAAAGACACAATGAGATCATTCGGCCTGATACTGACCAGCATTCATTTCCAACCCCCTTTCAGTAGTCCCCTGTCACAACAGACAGCATATGCACTGACACAGTAAAGAGGTGGTCATAAATATTCCCCCCACACTGAAAATTCACTGACTTTTCATTAGAGCTGCCTCATCCCTTAGTGCTGCTTGAGTCAAAATTAACCCCACACCTACAGAGTAGAGAGCACACACCACAGTGATCAGAAGAAATGGGAAAGGGCGGGGAAAAGGACGCATTGGAGAGTTTACGGAGAAGTAAGGCGCATAGGATTTCATACTCACTGCTATCGAGTCGATTTTGACTTATAAGGACCCTATAGGACAGGGTAGAACTGCCCCTGTGGCTTTCCTGAGACTTTATGGCAGTAGAGAGCCTCATCTTTCTCTCATGGAGCAACTGGTGGTTTTGAACTGCTGATGTTGTGGTAAATAAATAGTGCAACTCATAACCCACTACACCATGAGGACTCTGTAGGATTCTATCGTGATAAATACTCATGGAAATTTCTTCATAATGATCCCTAAAACAAAATTTCCCAAGATAGGGAGGGCATCTAGAATAGAAAGAAACAATAAACAAAAAAGCAAACCATCTTCTATGGAGTCCATACTGACTCATAATGACCCTAAGTTTCAGAGGCTATATATCTTTACAGGAGCAGACAACAGCCTCATCTTTCTCCCACAGAACAGCTGATAGGTTTGAACTGCTGACCTTATGGTTAGCAACCCAACATTGACCCACGATACTAATAATTTACATCGCTTAAAAATTAAACCATATATGGTTTAAAAATTAAACTAATGATATACACTAAGCAAAGAAATAAGAAGCTGAGCTTTGAAAGTAATAAAATGAGTCTTTAAAAAAGACTTGGGATCTATATTTGTCTTCTACCAATCAATATAGCACCGTAAGTGAGGTCCTGCCTGATAGAATGTGGGGACAATTTTGAAGGCTATTAAAAATGTAACAGATAGACATATTTGTGGACCTTTGTAAAGATGGATAAGATTATAAGCAAGCTCAGCTCAATACCTTATGGCAGGGGTTCTCAACCTTCCTAATGCCGCAACCCTTTAATACAGTTCCTCATGTGGTGGTGACCCTCCCAACCATAAAATTATTTTTGTTGCTACTTCATAACTGTCATTTTGCTACTGTTATGAATTGGGCAACCCCCTGTGAAAGGGTCGTTTGACTTCCAAAGGGGTCGCAACCCACAGGATGAGAATCACTGCCTTATGGTATCTGCGGTACTACTGCGGCACATAGCGATGACAACAGCCTGGGAAGCAGGTGTGTGAGGAAAAGAAGAATGGATGGAGTAGTGTACTCCTGCCAAACGGCAAGGCAGAGGCTTGCGGAGCATCCTCCCCCAACTTGCCTTGCCAGGCAAAAAGAGAGAAAGAAATGGAGAGTAGGCATACGTTTGGTAAATAAATGCAACCAGATGCTTAAGACAAGTGAAACAGTGGGGATTACTTACAAGGAGTTCCTCTGCAGGCTTCTTCCATAGTAACCCTGACATAGGGCTTACTAAAGTCAATTTCAATTTCATCAGAAAAAGGAGCCGGTTCCCGTAAGCCCTTCAAAAGAAAAAAGTAAAGGAAAACAAAGTTAAATGCAACGGTGTATTATTAAATACTTAAAAAATGGGCAACATTAAAGAGCAGTCATTCGCTATGCTGGCATTCTCAAAAAACGTACTGCCATCGAGTCAAATCCAACTCGCAGTGACTCTATGGGACAGGGTAGAGCTGTTCCTGTGGGTTTCTGAGACTGTAAATCTTTATAGGAGTCAACAGCCTCATCTTTCCCCTGAGGACAGGCTGGTCGTTTTGAACAGGTGACCTTGTGGTGTGACCATGTTAACCACTACACCACCAGGACTCCTGCTAGGATTAGAATTCACACACACACAAAAAAGTCGTGAAAAGAAGCATGACTATTTCAAAACAATCTATGTGTAAGTTTCAAACTTTTATAGAACAAGTCAATTGTAGCGTCTAAGATAAAGATGTTGCTGGTGATTTCGGGGAGAGACTGAGATGTGGCTGGGAGTCTAAGCACATCCTCCTCAACGGTCCAGAGTAGCAGCAGCTGCTCTGCAGTGCAGGACAGCCAGGCCTGTATCATGTACCAGTCGTGCCAGTTCCTGCAGCACTGCTTCAACAGGGGGCTGGGAAGGCGAACAGTTCCATGTGTGCGTCATTAAGTACAACGACCACTGTAAAGTACACCATATGGTAAACATATTCGAACACTCATAATAGCTCTGTGAAGTAAGCGTACTATATTGTTGCTAGGTGCCATCAAGTCAGTTCCAATTCATAGCGACCTTTTGTACAACAGAACAAAACACTGGCAGTCCTGTGCCAGCTCACAATCATTGCTGTGTTTGAGCCCACCACTGCGGCCCGTGTCCATCCATCTTGTCAAGGGTCTTCCTCTTTTTCACCTCCTCTCCAGTTTACCAAGAATGATGTCCTTTTCCAGGGACTGGTCTCTCATAACAATGCGGCCAAGTGAGTGAGAGAGCGTCTCACCGTCCTCACGCACAAGGAGCAGAGGCTCTGGCTGCCCTTCTTCCAAGGCAGATCCGTTTGTTCTGCTGACAGCCCACGGTGCTTTCACCAGTCTTCACCGCCGTTCAAATGTATTGGTGCTTCTGCAGTACTGTGGTTTCCTAAACTTCAAGATGATGAAAATGAAACTCCGAAAGCTATGTGACTACAAAGAATTACTAAGAAACAAAGCTGAAGAATAGAATTATGGTATTATTCTCTATGCATGGATTCACTTAAAAGTTGATAAATTTGTTCTCCTTTGTTTTCTTCTATGTGATGCTCTTGTGAATGGAATAGTTTTTCTTAATTTTGTTTGGGTTGTTCATTACTAGTATCTATTCATAGACATGAAATTGATTTTTGTATATCAACCTAATATTCCGTAACTTTCCTAAACTTGACTACTATTTTTAGTAGCATTTGGGGGGTATTCTTTAGGGTTTTCTGTAGGAAATTCCATTGTCTATGAATAATACATTTTATTTCGTCTTTTCCAATCTGGGTGTTTTGGTTCCCCGCCCTGTGGGAAACCAGCCCTTACAAATCAAACCGGGGCCGAGAGCATGGTTGAAATTGAGAAATTGAGAGCATGGTTGAAATCAAACCGGGGCATGGTTGAAATTGAGAAAGATAAAGAGGAAAGATAAAATCAAGTTGGGGCACAGGGGGCACGAGGAGAAGGAAGACTCCAAGACCCAGTTCTTCATTCAAGGCAGGTTTATGGACAGTTCTTGTCACCTATCCTGCATTCTGGGACCAGTTCTCACACAAAGGGTCCGTTGACAATTTACTGAAGGCAAACAAAGCAGCAAGGAGATTCCAGCCAGTTTGTCTATAGTCTGGAGGGAAGCATAGAACCAGAAATAGGGAGTGAAACTGGACACCTGCAGAAGGCTGTTTCAGTTGTTTCCTAGGGAACGAGAGAAAGTCTCGACCTTATCTTAGTTGAAGGTCAGACCATCCAGTGCATCAACTCCCTGGGTTTGAACAGTCAGCTCCTTCCCACAGGCCTTGCTAAACGGCTGGTCGTCGCGGTCCTGTACTTCACAAGAAAGAGATGAAGTCCAGACTGTCCTGTGAATGCACTGTAACTGGGTAGCCCAGGAATTCCTTTCCCAGAGTTCATCTGAAGACAATCTGTTCCCGCATCTCCCTTTCCCTGTTCAACGCCCACCACCCCCAACTGCATGGAATATTTAATACAATAGAAGTGGCAAGGGCTGACATCCGTGCCTTGTTTCCAATCTTAAAGCAGAAGTCTTGAACCTTTCACTAAATTTGTTGACATGAAGTTTTTAATTAATTATGTCCCTCAAAAAGATATGTTGCAGTCCTAACTCCTGTACCTGTGAATGTGACCTTGTTTGACAATAGGTCATTTCTTGGAAGAAGGTAGCAGTTAACAAGGTTCATGAGAATGGAGTCCAACCTCCTGCAAGTGGTTTCTTATAGAGGGTAGAAAAGACAAGGGAGGATGCCAAGTGCAAACACATCTAGCAGCCCCAGGACACGCCTGTGGCTAACAGACACGAAGATAAAGAAGGGTCTCCCCACATCGAACAGCATGGCCCTGAAGTGGCCTCCTAAAGAACGATAAATGCCTGCTCTTCACCATCACCATTGTCTAGGGTTCTGTTACAGCAGTCTTAGCATGGACTCTTTTATAATAGTACCTTACAATCCTAATTTCTGGGGCTCTATGATGCTGTTTCCTTCAAGTCTTAAATTCCAAACAGATCATATCATGCTAGGGCTGAATCCACCAAGTAGCCAGATACTGTATTTTGCTCTTTTCTTCAGTCAAGGATAGATCTTTTCATTCTTAAAATGAAAACATTCATTTTTTAGGGACAAAAATCACTTAAGTAAGCTTAAGATAGGCTAAAGTTATAAGTGAAAACAAACGCATTTTTAGGATATATATATATATATAATTCTTTCTTTAAAACACTTTTAAAAAGGAGGTAACAATAAGCCATGAACCCAAATATGGCATTATTAGATTTTTCTCTACAGATTAGAGAAAAATGTTAGTTTTCAAAGTGATGTTTGACAGTAATTTTGTGTTTCTTAAAAATATATGATCATCCACAAAATGCATATTCTACAATGAGAGAAGGCAGAGAACAAAGAAGTAATGTGGGGAAGACTACGCTGATGAGGAGTATGATGAAGAACTCCAAGCGTGAGACAGTCTTGTTGGTATACCGGTCCCTACACAGATATACATATATGTATATACATATATGTACATATTTATTGAGGAGGTACCCCCAAAATCCATAATCTTCTTTCAAAGCTATGTATTAATTTTTTTTTAATAAGACAAGCTTGTCACCTTCAAAGTACTCTCCATTGCACTTAATACATTTGTCAAATCTGTGATTCAATTCTTGGAAACATTCTTCAAACTCATCTGTTTAGATGGCTGATAGCACCTCCCTTGTTTTTTGTTCACCACTTCTACATCATCAAATTGCTGTCCTTTCATGTCCCTCTGCATTCGCAGAAACAAAAATGAGTTGCACAGAGCAAGGCTGGGTGAGTAAGGTGCATGGGGCAAGAGAGGCATGCCGTTATTTTGCCTAAAACTGGCACACTGAGATGGCTGTGTGAGCAGGTTGCATTGTCATGATGGCAAAACCAGTCCACCATCTGCCACAAATCAGGCCTTTTTGGTCACACAGTTACATAATATTTTCAGAACCTCTAAATAGAAAGCTTGATAAGCAGTCTGACCTGGTGGAATGAACTCCAAGTCGACATTTTCATGAATTTGGGAAGTTGATGGAGGTCCAGAACAAGATTTGTCAACAATCAAGATTTCACCTTTTTTGAAACAAGGAAACCACTTGTACACTTGAGTTTTTCCCATAACGCTATTCTTTTAAGCTGTGTTCAACATCACAACATATTCTGCAGCATTTTTCCAAAGCAGGGAACAAAATTTCACAGCCACATGCTGTTCTCTTAAATCGGCCATCACAAAAACAAAAAACAAAACCAACCAAATAACTCCCGAGACTTAAGCAAAAACTGCTTTTACGAAAAATTCACTGTGACCAGAGAGAACCTTCCCAGGAAACACCACAGGGTGCACTAACTCAGAGAGAGTTGCTTGATGCTTGCCTACAGGGAAAAATGCATACTATGAAAGCTCAGCTCTGCCCAGTGCAATTCCATTTGGCGGGGGTAGCCCCTCAGATAGATAGAAAAAAATGACATAAATATAGATATATAAAATACTAATACAAGTTACAAGAGCCCTGGTGGTCTAGTGGTTATACAGTGGACTGCAATCTGCATGGTCAGCAGTTCAATACACCAACAGCTCCGTGGGAGAAAGAAGGCTGGGCTTTCTATTTCTGTAAATAGTTACAGTCTCGGAAACCCACAAGGGGTCACTATGAGTCAGCACAGATTCCATGGCAGTCAGAATACAAGTTACAATGGGACACAAAATCATATGCTTTCTGATTCCATTTGTATGAACTATCCAGAATAAGTCATCCAGGTACAGAAAAAGCAGATTAATGGTGGCCTTGCTGGGAGAGCTGGGGAACAGAGGGGTGACTGCTATGGGCACTGCTAGTTGCTGTCAAGCCAAGTCATTTCGAACTTTGGGCAACCCTATGAGGTTCAAAGCAGAATGGCTCCACCGGGTTTTCAAGGCTATGTTTCGAGGTGCCTCCAGGTCAGTTCAAACTGCCAACCTTTTAGCTAATAGTGAAGCACTTAGCCATTTTTACAACTCGGTAAACTTAACAGAAATAGAGACGTTTTGGGGTTGTTGTTTTTTGGTTGTTTCTTTAAAGAAATTGATTCCTGAAAAACAGAATTTTAATTTGAATTAGCATCTGGATATTAAGGAACTGTCAAAAAAGAAGATAGGTGGTATCTTACCTATCTAATTCGGCCAAACAGAAATACCACAAGTAGATGGCTTTAACAAATGGAAATGAATTGTCTCACCATGTAGGAGACTAAATTCTGAATTCAGTGGGCCAGCTCTGAAGGAA